TCTCTTAAACAGGCTCACACATAAGACCTTCCATTTGCTTATGCTGTTACCAGAAATAATTCTAGAGGTAGTTCTCGAGGTTACACCAGAGGAGGATATAGAGGTAACAATTCAGGCAGATTTTATAAAAACACTTACAAAAGTGGAGGACAAGGCAAGTCTAATTCATTATCATTCTCAAATCCTACCTCTAGTCAACATAACACTCCTTTAAATCAACATGGATTGATCTGTTAAATTTGTGGTAAACCAAACCACTCAACCATGGATTGCTGGCACAGAATGAATCAGGCTTTTCAATCCTCTTCTTCATAAGCAAGAAGACCACATTCGAAAGCCTATGTTGCCTCTTCTTCAACTATTTCTATTGCTCAAGAACATTAGTCTACTACTATTACACCTGGTTCAAATTGGTTCTTAAATTCTGTGGCCACCAGTCATTTCACCAATGATCTTAATAATTTCACTCATTTTCAGCCCTATCAAGGTTCTGACCATGTCACTATAGGAGATGGTTCTGTTTTGCCTATTCATCATACTGGTAATGGTCTACTTCCTACACCATCTACTTTTTTTCATCTTCATAATTTGCTTCATGTTCCTTCAATTTATGCTAATCTTTTATCAGTTCATCAGTTCATAAAGGACAACAACTGCACCATTACTTTTGATGCTGATTGTTTCATTATACAAGACAAGATTTCCAAGAAAATTCTTCATAAAGGTCCTCATTCAGTTGGTTTTTATCCTCTATCAGCTTCATCTGCTTTTCCTGCTACTTCTTCCACAACTTGTTTCAAGTCTTCCACTACTTCTCCCTATAGCAAGACCACTTGGCACAATAGATTAGGACATCCTTCTTGTAATAAGTTGCAATTTCTTGTATCTCAAAATCTGTTGCCTACTAATGTACCTACTTCTAATGACAATAAGATGTGCACACATTGTTGTGTTTCTAAGAGTCATAGGTTGCCATTTCATCTTTCTAATTCCACTATAAATCAGCCATTGGCTCTTATTCACTCTGATGTTTGGGGACCCTTTAATGCATCTTTTTCCAATTTTAAATACTATATTCTTTTTCATTGATGATTACAGAAAGTTTACTTGGCTATTTCTTCTTACCTACAAAAGTGAAGTATTCTCTAAGTTTGTTGAGTTCAAGGCCTTTGTTGAGACTCAGTTTCATATTAAACTTCAAGTTCTCAGAAGTGATAATGGGAGGGAATATTTAGCTAACAAATTTCAGTAGTTTCTAAAGGATAAAGGCATTGAGCATCAACTTAGTTGTCCTCATACTCCTGCTTAGAATGGGGTAGCTGAAAGGAAGTACAGATACTTAATTGAAACCACCATTTCTCTCATGCAGTAGTCTGCTCTTCCATTGTCCTATTGGTTTGATGCTTTTATATATTTAGTGAATTTTATTAATATTTTAAGCAAATGTTTTACTTCTTAAATATACTTCATATAAATACAATTAAAAAGTCTAATATTTGTAAAAAAAAATCTTTAAAAAATTTAGTAAATCTCAAAAAATATGAAAATTTAATACATTTTCGTATTCTTGTGTATTTATTGATTTTTTAAAATATTTTACTTTTTTGGTATATCTAGGTTAGATCCATCTAAAAAGTAAAAAAATTATTTAAATTATTAAAAAAATTTACTAAAAATAAAAAAAAAGTAAAAAAAATCAATTTTCAAAAAATTAAATTCAAAAAATTGTGATGGGTTTATATTTTCAAAAGTCTAACTCCTAGATGGAATAAAATATAATGGGGCAAATTATATTTTGAATCTAAAAAGGACGAAAATGTCATAGGCATATAATGAGATTATATGTGTATAAATGTGTTTAAAATTTTATTTTTCGTTTAAGTCATTAACAATGTACTTTAATTTACAAATTATAATAATAAAAAAAAATTATGATATAAACTAGAGAGTGTTAATTAAGATTTGCCCAACTTCTATTAATATATGGAACCACTCCATGAATAAATCTTTAACCCTTGCTTCTAAATTCTTGTTAATTTTATAGAATAGATTTTTTTTTTTTTTGGGTATATAGTCTATAAATCATATGTTTTCATTTTGATGATATCTAAACTGTTATGGAATAATTTGTGATTTTGTAATATACATATTTTACATTATTTGACACAATATTATTTGTTAAAATATATGTTGTATGATATATGTTTTATAAATATTATTTAAATAGATTTTACTGTACATCATATATTTTTAATAGAGAAGTTACTATTCAAGTTACTGTATAACATTTGAAATTCGTTAAGTTTGGAAGAAAAAATTAGCATAATACTATTTATCGAAAGCGACATCTAGCCTACTAATTCAAATATTTGCTTGCCATTATTGACAAAAGAATTGTGCCCGTGCTCCGCGCCGCATACGCCATTGCCTCCTGAAATTCTCAAATACTGTATGATACTTCATTGAGCTATATTTTTTATGAGAAAATTTGTTGAGAGTTAAGCAAAATTGTAAAAAAGTTTTCTATCCCTTACTCTTATTATTCTTGTAAAGGGAGAGTTTTTGTGAGTGATTTTTTGGAATAAAATCATTTGGGCTAAGTGTGACTAGGTACAGATTCAAAATTAGTTGGAATATTTTTGTGAGTATTTTTGGGATAAAATCACTTGGTGAGGTGTAACTAGGCACCAGATTTTGAATTAATTGGAGTGATTGAGATTGGTCACTTATTATAAAGGTTCACTAGCACCAGTGAAACTAGTGGTGTAATTATTATTTGAAAAATAGTGAAAAAATTCCCGATGAGGATACTTGGGGCGCGAATATAGGCCAGGCGTACCGAATTACTATAAATTGTTGAGTTTGCTTTCTCTTCCCTTATCTCATTTTATTTCGTTACTCTATTTTATATTATTGAGCAAATTTATTTATTTATCATTTGGGTTAATATTTTTAATATTATGTGTTGGAGAAAATACCAGAAACTAAACAATATTATTGATAAATGATGCAAAGAAAATGAGATACAAATAGATCAGGCTGAGGCACGGATATCTCGTTTTCTTTAAGGAGATCAAGCCCACTGCGGTAGGAAGAATCCAAATACCGATGCAGCAGTCACAATACTATGACTTGTCCCCTCCAGGATACAACAGCCCGACCACTTGTCGTATGGTTCAGGCCAACTCTGCACAAGATAGTGAACCCAAAGCTCCACCAATAAAACACCATTCTTTGCTAGTAATCTCTCTTGTATAGAAAATAGCTTATCTCTATAGATAGAAAAGAGTAGACTATATATATAGGCTATAAGGACCTTACAGTTACACCAAAAATAATGACCATTAAACAAGAAAATGGTTACACCAAAATAATGACCATTAACCAGGTTCATGAATTCTATTTAACCTCTATTTATGACCAAGAGGTTACCAAAGTAATAAAACCCCATTAATGAAAAAGATAAATCAATAAATAAATATAAGATATTAAAATGGTCCAACATTATGAAATTATTTTTAAAAACCCAATTCACTCTCTCTTAGGTTGCCTAGGGCCTATATGGGATAACATAGTCCTTTGGGTAAGCAAAAAGTCTTAGCACCAAAATAATAATAATAATAATAATAACAAAAAAAGAAATTTTTCAAAATTTTAGATTTATAATTTATATTTAATTTTTTTATTGTGCGGCCACTCCATGAATGAATCTTGACTTTAAATTTTAAATTGGATTCCAAAAATTCAAATTTAAATTTTCTTTAACCATAGGTCCAAGTACTACAACACTTTGTACATAAAAACAAACTAGTGTAAAATGACCAAACTATCATTTATATATATATGTTATACGGTCATTCATACCGCTCGCCTTCCTACCACACTCGTTCTGTTGCCACTCTCTCTCTCTCACCGCCACCAAAACCACTCTATCTCCTCCCTCTACAGTACGAGCATGCAGATCTAGATCTATCACCATCGTGGAGCTTTCACTATCGCTGATGTAGCCAGCGCTTTCTTAATAGTGGTGGAGATGCAGATCTGGTTTGAAATGTGCAAGGGTTTGTATCTATATGTGAACAAAAAAATACATACATAGACATAGACATAGGCATACATTCTATATGTAGATATGTTTGTATGTATATGTGTATGTGTATATGTATGTATGTACGTATGTATGTTAATATTTGTTATCCACTTGTATTTAGATTTAGGGGTGGTTTGGGATGATCTAAAGTGTATTTTTTGGCTTTTTATAAAATATGATATGACTTAAATAAGATGATGTGACTTAAATATGATAGTGACTTTTTGACTTTTTGATTTTTTTAGATCATGCCAAACAATTCCTTATATGACTCATAATTACCATCACTTACTCATCAGGTATGGATCTCAATCCTACTTTGGGAAGTAGTTTTTTGTTGTTTTTTTTTTTGTTTTTTGGGGCTTTTCGAGCTAAAATAGTTAATAAATATAAAATAGATTAGAACAACTAATAAGACAAAATATCACATTTAAATCATAATTTTTTTATTTTTTCTCTTATAACTATCAAATCAACTATAAAAATAGCCTACTATTTTTCCAAACATAACTTTTTTAATCAAGCAAAAATAATTAAATAATAAAAAAGTCAACTAAAATAACCAAATTGCCAAACAAAGTTACTTGAAAGTTACAATAATGACATAGGTTGATGGTTACAATTAAAAAATGAAATTTACTCAGTCACATGTTAGGTTATAATTGGTAGTATCATGTGGACACAATCACATGACATCAACGTTGCACTTAAATTTTACATTATGTTTTGGTAAGAAAGAGGTTCCTCCAATTCAGGTTCAAGGGAAGCTTATCGGATTATAAAAAAAAATTAAAATTATGTAAATCATTATTTAATGACAAAAATAGAAAACAAAAAATTAAAAAAAAATTCTAACAAGAACTTTTTTATTAGAAAAACATAAAATACAATTATGAGACACAATGACAAATCAAACTACTAGTCCTTCCCCAAAACCCCTGGCATTGAAATACTTGCACATCATTATTCCAAACAGTGAAAAACTTATTTCAGAAATTGCTTGTAAGATGGAAAATTGGCACACACAACTACTTTCACTTGAACCAGTGGACATGAGCACAGATCTGACCAATTTATCAAAATTCAAGTAAGATGACCCAACAGAACAAGCTGTTGCCTCTTCACCCAAATTCTTCCACTCCATGACCTTTCTCTTCATCTCCTTCCCTTTCTCTCCTCCACCCATCAACTCTCTAACTAAGCTCTCAACCTCCTCTCTTTTCACATCACTGTTTATCTCCATCCCTATAACCCACTCTTTGCAACAGAGCCAACAGTTTGTCAGTTGCTCTGGAAAAAAAAAAAGGCCAACACAACATATGCAAAGACTTTCAAGAGTTGAATTCCATCCACAGTGTGTCAAGAACCCTCCAACTGATGGGTGACTCAGGACTTGTTCTTGAGGACACCAACTAACCAATAGACCCCTTTCTTTAGTCTCATTCACAAAATCTGGTGGAAGAATTGTCGAGTCACCGGTAACCAAATCAGGTATAATGATCCACAAGAATGTTTTCCTGCTATTAGCAAGTCCCCAAGCGAATTCAATCAACTGTTGGGGTGTCATCACAATTATGCTGCCAAAGTTTACGTAAACGATAGAGTTGGGTGTAAGAATATAGGATCTATATACTAAAAATCAAAACACTATGAATATAATTAACTACTAAAATATAAACTTGGATACATACCGTTTGATTCCGTTATTGTCTTGAGTTTTGCTTCTTTGAAAGATGATGGGATTCACAATCGGAAAACCTTAGCACCAGCTCTTCCCCTCCTTCTCCTAATCTTTATGTTGTCTTTCAATGGGGCTGACAACCCTTTGATCTACATATATATAGATATATGTAAACCCTAATAAAGATAGGAGAGGGGACTGGGCCTAAATAAAACAATTACAGGGCCCTTCCATTAAGGAACCCAAGTAACTTAAACAGGCCTTACACCTCCATATTACATATCTACATATAAAATAATATATACACCAAGATGACCATGGCCCAAACTTTATGGATCACAATAATAATTTTGGGCTCATACCAGTCAATCTATCTGAATCACGTTCAACCCATTTTTCACAAACCAAACAAAATATAGTCAATGACAGCCTAATTAAGAATAAATTCTCACATTCTCCCACTTAGGCAACATTGACTACTGCTTAAAGAAAATATTTTATTTAAGAAAAAATGACTCTCGGGTTAAACAACTTTAGTGGCCACATAAACATAATTCAGAACAGAAAACATCTCAGCACCGAATCTCGATCAATGAGAAATATTAATATCGAACTGTAACGATAATTATGCTATTGAACAACATAACACCTTCCACAATTGCAAACACTAATATCTCACCAACATGGATTCCTATATGAGATAAAGTGTAGTGTGAAATTTCAGTATAATTGATCCAAAAATTATATAACATGCTAATTCCACATTCAGTCCTCTGTATGGTCTTGACAAGACCCTGCAAGGAATCTCATTCCCTTCTCCACTTCTAAAAGAGGCCTTTATTTCTCTAAACCGAGGTCTTTCATGCTTTAAACCAAGTATCAGACTTTATGGATCCATATACACTTCTAAATTGAAGTATTAATCTTTATATCTCAAAATTAAAATATAATTCTAAGAGCTCATATAAGAGGCATACATATATGACAATTACCATTTATGTGTACACACACATAACTATAAACAAAATGTGAATAAACACATTAAACTTTATTAACTGAAATATATCATAGATAATATTCATGGGCAAAAACAATTTCTTTAACCAAGCACATAAAAATTGTAAAGTACCCATATGCTCAATATATTTAGAAAACTAAAATTTGGCCTAAGCCCTATATTTAGAAGATCAACTAGTATGTATTCTATAACATGTGCTCATAAAGAATATCATCTTTAACAACTTTCCAATTCTAAAGTACTTTAAATTTATAAATTTAACACCATCAGCATTTTTGTTATTCTTTATAGAGAAAATTAAAACCATATATCATAATACATCTTTATAGGTTTGGAAATAAAATTAACAATTCCAAGCTTTGAAATAAATTTTTTTAATTGCATAACTCAAGTCGAGCTCTAAAACATGTTGCATACTGAAAAATTATAAGAGATTTTATGAAACTCTTTCATGAAGCAACACCTCATGCAAACATAAAAATATAACCAATAATAGATACTATATCATTTGAGCAACTACCAAAGTCGACATAGTACAACCAATAATATTAACATGATTAATTCTTTTATAGACAATCGTATAATTTTTAATTCTCTATAAATATCATAACACTTTATGTCTTTCAACCCAATGGTCAAGGCTTAAAATAAAATAATAATTGTCTAACAAACTAATTGCATATGCACCAAGTTTAATCCAAACTTCATAATTCATTAAACTCTCACAACACTAGCATAAAAGACATTTCTCATGAACTTTTTCTCAACATCTTTTTATGAATATTGAATGTTACTTAATTAGTCTCGATCATTAAGAAGAGCAAAGTAAAACTTTCAATTCTGCATATTAAATTCAGTAAAAATGTGCTCTAGGTATGCTCTTTGAGATGAGACAAATAATCCTCTAAGTTATTTTTCAAGTATCTTAATGCCAAACACATAAAACACTTTATCAAGATATTTCATATCAAAAATTTATTAACAACAATATCTTCACATCAAGTATTAATTCGAAATTATTACTAGTAAGTAAAATTCCATCAGTGTAAAGGATCAAGAAAAATAAATTACTCCCACTGACCTTGAGATATATGCATAAATTAATAGTATTATCCATAAAGCCAAGTAATAATATTTGGTGAACCTTTAAATATCATTACTCAGGAATTCGTTTAAAACCATAGATAAATTTGTTTAACTTACAAATCAAATTTATTTTGTTTGGTGAAACAATAGATAAAAATGTCACAATATCACTATAATCATTATATACCTATATTTATACCATTGGTAAGAACAATACTCTTTTCAAATAACAACCTCTTACAATAGCTTCGTATTTATTTATTTATCTTTAAAATACTCATTAGATTTCAAACTTTTAAAAAAAAGGTATAACATGATCTCATATCTAATTAATAATTTCTACCAATTCATTTACCATATTACAAATCGCCAATATCTTCGTCATACGTAACAATCATCTCTTCAATCTCTTGACATTGCTCATTTAGAAAAATAACATGATCACAAGGATCTTGAACTGTATGAGAATGTTTAGGAGTTGTACGTGTTATGCATGTTCAAGTTATATCAACAGATTGAATAGACACTTCAGATTCTACCTGCACTCTTACTTTCTCTATATGAGAATGAACATACCATTTTATTACAATAGACACAAGTACACAGAAAGATTTATATATTTATGGTTTAAACTGTTCATCAATCTAAAACCTTCACATTTTAAGCTTAAAAGATTTTTATGTCGGAATCAAGATAATAGAACCATTGACAACTTACAAAAGTAACAACAAATAGCAATAAGTCTCATTTTAATTTCAAAAGCACAACAAATTTTTACTTTTGTACAATCCCAAACTCAAAAGTTATTCTAACTAAATTTTCTACTAGTTCACAATTCAAAAGTGTTTTAAAAAATATTTTTAACTTAGTACCATATGTAAAGTATACACAAGTATACATAGCAATTAAAATTATTTTTTCACAAAAACTTGTATAATTTAAACATGTTAACCTACACCTCATCATTTTATTAGAGTCCAATTACGACGCTCAAGTGCTCAACTTTCTTCCGAAGTTACAAGCATGATATATTTAAATTGATTCCACAATTTTATAAAAAATTAATAAGAGGTTATGCACATTAACCAAAATTATCATGTTCACTATAATATCCACCTTGAATTAATAATTTTAAAAAACTTTATCAGTGTGCTTTTCAACATAAATGAGATTAGACAAATGCATAACATCAATACTCATTTATGAAATCAACAAAATAATTTCTCCCACACACCTTATGATAAATGAAAATCTATTCCAATTATTATTATTTTTATTTTATTTATTACCAAAATTAAAATAATAACAATGCTTATTTTGTTGTCATTAAAATTGAATTTTATCTCATGGATGATATAAAAATAGCATTCTTTAAAACAAGATCACTACTAGGCTTTAACTTAAATAACTTGATCAGAAAATAAAATTTTGATTAACACACGAATTTTTTTAAGCAGTTTAAAAAATAAATAAGGAGATTCCGAAGGTGGGAAGAGCATCATAGCTCACAAAAAATTCGAAAGAATTTTTCTTACTTGAGTTAATAATATATAAAGAGATTTGCGAAATATTCTGAAAAGGAAAACATAAAACACTGAAGAGAGATAACGATTTGTAAAAGTCAAAGGTATTATATAGAGCATTGTAGAGTATAGTGTAGATTTTCTTATAAGAATCACCTAGTGAATATTTTAAAACTCTACTTTCTTAAATAGTTAACATTGAATATAATTTCAATCTTTCACACTATATTGAGGTCTTAATATAAATGGTTAAGAAGACACATTCTCGAGTATGTTAATAGCTAAATCAGTTAGTCTTAAAGCTAACTCAATAGCTTTTAACCGATTCATAACCAAAACTTTAATGGAGTAAATTTGATTTTCATAAAAATATCTTCCTTCATTGCTTTTAATTCAATATAATATCATTCAATTATATATGGACAATAATCATAGCGATCCCGGGTTTACCCTTGTTGCACAGTGATCCGGACATGTGTCCGTGGATGTTTAAAGTTGTTTATTATCTTGTTTGCATCCTCTTTACTTTGTTTATTGAGTTATAGGATGTGTTGGGCAGGTTTGTTACAGGTTGGTTGTGTTTGGGAGCCCAGTGTTGCTGCCCAGATTTTTGGACCTTTGCTCGAGCGAGGAGTTGGTCGCTCGAGCGAGAGTTGAGTTTGTGTCTGGTGGATCGAGCCAGAGTGGCTTCGCTCGAGCGAGCGATTGCGTCTGGTTCTGGACCTGAGAGTTGCATTTCTTGGCTCGAGCGAGCTTTTCTTGGCTCGAGCGGTCTGGTTTGTTCTTCGCTCGAGCGAGAAGTTCTTCGCTCGAG